GTGTTTTCAAGTAATAAACTCTCTTCCAATTGTATAAACGAAATTCCTAGACAACAACATAAACACTTATACACTTTAATGAATGGAAATGACAAGACGTGTACTCGTTTTCTAAATTTTGTAATTTCATGGTTTATGGGGATATATTGAAAGAATCTTCAATGTTATCCATTGAAAAACTATCAAATTGTTCAAGGAATGGTCTATCGTATCAAAAATTTGGGTTTTGAAACCCCAAAAAAGGTTTCCTCGGAATTTCCTTGGTATATACCGAGGAAAGCTCTAACCAATAAGAATTCATGCAGAGCATATTCCATTTTCCTCGGAATATACCGAGGATATTCCGAGGAACATGGAATATTTTCATTAACCGGGAAATCGGACCGCCAAAAATTTCGCGAAAATCAAATTAAGTGTATTCCGAGGAATCTTGTCCGTCGGAATCTCGGGTTTATTTTTACCCGAGAAACTTCTTCATCCTCATTTCTCAGATCTCTCTCAAACCTCCATTGCGATTCTCCGAGTTCCTCTGTCGATTTCCACCGCGAAAACTCCTTTATCTCCTCTATTTCTTCTGAAATCATGTAAGTCCTCAATCCTCATCATCCTTAGTTGTTTTGATTAGGATTTGAAGTTAGTTTTAGGGATTTTAGATGTTTTAGTTTGTGATTTTGTTACGGTGATTGGTAGATTAGGTTTTGATTAGGATTTGAAGTTGTTGTTTGTGTTGTTGTTGTTGTTGTTTTTGTTGATTTTCAAAAATAATTTTTTGAAAATTATCAAATCCAAAGGTTTTTTTGTATATAAAATCTATTTTGGGAAATATTAAAACGTTTTTTTATATTTTTGAAACCTTTTTCTGTGATTTTAATTTTTTTTTAATTATTAAACTATTTTCCTATTTATTAAAAGGTTTTTTGTAATTAAAAAACTATTTTTTACTTATTAAAATATTTTCCTATTTATTAAAAGGTTTTTTGTAATTAAAACTATTTTTTACTTATTAAACTATTTTCCTATTTATTAAAAGTTCTTTTTGTGATTTAAAACTATTTTAAAAATTATTAAACTATTTTCCTATTTATTAAAAGGTGTTTTTAATATTTATGAAACTTTATTGTGATTAAAAAACTATTTTTAGATTTTTAAAATCATTTTTATATTTATTAAAAGGTTTTTTAATATTAATGAAACCTTTTTCTGATTAAAAACTCTTTTTGGATTTTTAAAATCATTTTTATATTTATTAAAAACTCTTTTTTTAATTTGCAGGTCTAGTGGTGATCGGCCCCGGTCTCGTGTTCGTCGTTCCGTACCCCGAGGTCATAGTGGTACAGAGAGCCACTCTCTGGGTTCTTCATCGTCTTCTGATCAGATTCTTTCTCCCGCTGCTGCAAACCCTCCCCCTCCTCCAGTTGTTCCAGGAGTGATGACTGTTGAACCGTTGGTTCAACAGCCCGGTCGTGACCATCTTCTCTATCTCACTCAGTATCTAAAGGGACAACGTCAATGATGGTAATTAAGAGTCTTTTTATTTTATTAAAAGTTGATTCATTATTAATAATTTGTTTTTTATATTAGGTTCGACCGATCCGCGAACGGGATCAGCGCATGCATCAACCGGATGATGTACTCAGACCTCAAGAAGGGATATCCGACTTTCACTCAGTTCCCTCTCCAAAAGCAGGAGATGTGGTTTCGTTAGTTTGCGGTAAGTATTCTAATTTTTTAATTATATTTTTAATATTTATTATAAAATTTCTACTCATTGTGTTTTTTTCAGCAAGAGTTCACCTAGAATCCCGATCATACGGTCTTCATCCGTAACACCTTCGTCCATAAAGTTATGGACAACTACGAGAAGCAAATCTATGAGTGGAAGCAGAAGTGGCTCGATGATAAGGTACCGGTTTATTAATCTATTTTTAAATTTATTAAACTATTTTTGAATTTATTTAACTATTTTATATTTTTATTTATTAAAAGGTCCCGAAGTCGATCAACAGCACGGTCTGGCAGGAGTTGTGTGTGCATTGGTAGAAGGACGCGACGAAAGACACCTCCTTGACCAACTCCACCAACCGCAACAGCAAACGTGGCGAGAAGGGCATGTACATACACAACTTGGGTGCCAGTCTACTGTCATTATGGGAAATCGCATGGTAAGTTCAATCTCTTTTTTTGAATAATTAAGTATTTTAATTTTATTTTTTATCCATTTCTTCTAATTTCTAATGTTCTTTTTAACTTATGTTTTTATCTAGGCAGAAGAAAATGATGACGAGCCGGTTGATGACTTCGAACTGCTGAAGAGGAAGCATACCAACAAGGAGACCAGGGAGATTGATGATGGCGTTGTGAAGGAGGTGGTCGACCTGGTCGAAACTCTGAAGAAAGACGAAGAGACCCGTCTATCTCAGCTTCAAACCGACCTAGACTCCACTTTGACGGCTTCAACCCACCTATCCCGGACTCGAATCAACAAAATCGTTGAATTGGTAAGATCTTTTTTTAAAAGTTCAGTTCATTTATTTCTTTATTTTCTATTATTAAAATTTTTTTTATCTTCTCTTTTAGTCGGTTCCAAAGAAGAAGGGAGGTTTGGTCGGTTTGGGTCATCAATCCCAATCGGTTCCTTCTGCTGCACAACCGCCTTCTGTTGATCCAATTGTTATGGAGGAGCTGAAGGACAAGGATGACCGCATAGCTGCGTTGGAGGCCAGAATGGCTGATAAAGAGGCGGGATGGGAGGAAATGAGGAGGCAGAACGAACGAATGATGGAGATGATGAAGAGGATGTACCTGAACAAGCAATTCCCATAATTTATGTTGTTTTTTTTTAAACTCTGAATGTCTTTTTTTATTTGTACAACTTTGAATATTATCTAATATGTTTTCAATTTCAATTTTTATTTTATATTTTCGAATTTCAATTTAAAAAATAATAATTTATAATTTTATAAAAATATATTAATTTTTGGAATATTCAGAGGAAGACTATCCCTCGGAATATTCCGACGATATTGTCCCTCGGAATATTCCGACGACAATATCCTTCGAAATATTCTGAGGGACAGTTTCCTCGGAATAATCCGTGGGCTACAGTTCTTTAGCTTATTCTGAGGGCTCAAGTTCTTCGGAATATTTTCAAAAAATGTTTTCGAGAAATGTTTCATCGGAAAACTCTGAGGACATTCCAACGAAATTTTTCTAAGAATATGTTCTCGGAAATTCTTCGGAATTTTGGTTCTTGGTATTTCCTCTGAATTTTCCGAGGAATTTCTGAGGAAACTTGTATTTCCGACGAAAAATTTCTAACGACCATGTTTGTTGGTATGTTTTCGGAATATTCTTATTTTGACGATATACCGACGAATATGGTTGTCGGAATCACGGTGTTTTCTTGTAGTGATCGAACGAAACTTCGATTAATGTTTTTTTCTAATTTGTCGTTATCCATTTCATTCCTTTGAAGATAACAATGATTCTATTAGTGAAAGATTGTCTCAAGGTCCAATAGTATAATACACCGCAATATATAATACCAACTTTATGGTTACACCCTCTATTATATCCACTTTCTTGTGTATGTGTTCCTTACGCTATCGAATAGTGTGGAAATTAACCCTCGAGAGATCTTAAAAGAAGTGAATTAATGAAATAAATCTTTGAGCTATCGAATTAAAGTTACAAATCTATACTACCCTTTGTTCTCCCCTTTTCTCATTTGCATCAGATTTACCGAAGTTCTTTTTTTTATTTTTCACTCTCTGTAATCAAAGTCAAAGATTAAACACTCTTATGTAATGATTTTAGTTGTTAGCAATGCAAATTAACTCTAACAAGAAGAAGATACAAAAAAAAGTTGTATAACATTGTACATGGCTAAATAGCAGAAACGGATACATGTTATGTTATTGTAGACGGTTCCATGTGTTTACATTATTACGTAACAAAAGAAGCACAAAAATAGAAATGATGTACTCCATCAAACATCTTGATTGAAGTCAAATTTAATCTTGCGTGAATCTTTTCTTGAGTTTTCAATTTACATAAATGGTTAAAGAAATCAATTTCAGTTTCAGTTTCAATCAACAATAGTTCCCTAATCATGCTTTGAAATCCGGAATGGTTTGGTTTGGTAAATTAAGAAGACTAATCTTCGTTTGAATTCAATTGGAGGCTTTGATCAACCATGACACATTGAAGCAGGTAGAGGCGTCTTTGAAGGCGGTGGAAGCAACCAGATGCAAAAGGGTAAATACAAAATTCCAAATTTGATGAAGATTGCTATGAGAGCATTACTTAGCATAATTCATTGAAATATTACTTATGTATACTATTACAGAAAATTAGTTAACTTTTTAGTTTATTACCTTGTGCTTAAACAAAATTTTCACTTTAGGTTTTAATCATAATAGCAGAACATACATATGTGAATATTCAAAATCACATGTTTAAATTTGGAAATATGGGTTTTAACCTAATTTCGATAAGATTAGTTGGGGTTTAGGTTATGAAATTATATTATTGTATTGAATCTACAAGAAAGAGTATGCAACAATTTTGCTAGTCTTTTATAACGAGACATTTGCATTTCCTTTTCTAGTATGGACATTCTCCTTTGAACATCATATCGTTCCCCACGAATTACTCTGCGAACGCCATGACACATGACATCATATTATCATCACCTAATCCGTTATAACTATTTTGATTATTTAACTTATTTATTCTATGACTCATATATTGTAGACTTGTCAAACACTATTAAAAGTAATATTTTTACATAAATTCTGACGAATGCATATATCACTTTGCTTTAGTTATGTGGTGGCTCCTCTGCACACATGTGTATATATACATACATACTAGAACGCCGAGAGCTAAGAAAGAAAACATATCAGATCTTCAATCTTCAAGAGATTGTCGTCAAAAAACAAAAACAAAAAAAAATCTTCAAGAGATTAGGGTTCTTGGTCAGAAGATATATAAAGAAAATGGTACGATCACCGTGTTGTGATCAAGACAAAGGCGTGAAGAAAGGACCGTGGATGCCCGAAGAAGATGACAAGCTCATAGCTTATATAGACAAGAACGGTTATGGGAATTGGCGGTCGCTTCCTAACCTCGCCGGACTTAACCGCTGTGGAAAGAGCTGCCGGCTACGGTGGATGAATTATCTCCGGCCTGATATCCGGCGAGGCGAGTTCACCGATGAAGAAGAGAGTACTATCGTTAGACTACATGCTCTTCTTGGCAACAAGTAAGATTTTTTATTTAGCAAAAAAAAAAAAAGGTTAGGTTTATTTATTAATTAAAAATTTCGAGTAATTATTTAACATCTATACTAAGAATTCCTCATATGATTCTGCCACTGTTTGCTTAGTTATTTACAATATACTAGATTTTGACCCGTGCGGATATATTTTTCAATAATATATTGCTATTAGTAATGTATATCATATACGTGTCATCATATAATTAATAGTATTTTATACGTACCATAACATAAATTATTCATGGAATTACGGGTCGGCCCGCTCTACTGCGAATTGAATCATTTTTTGATTCAAAATTTTGACACGCAAGTAGGAAAAATTATACCTTAACCTGACATCATATATACTTTAAAGTGCGGATATTTTTTTTTAATTCTACAAAAAATTGATAGTTAACGGATTATGTGTTTTTGTACGAGATAACCTACTACGTTTATGATTTGTGGAAGTTTTTTTTCTTGTAGTTTATAAAACAACAAAGATGTTTATTTTAGTATAGATTTCTATACTTTTTAAAATGTGATTTTGATATTTAACAATTATTTTATTGATTACCAAAATAAATTTAAAATATTTTTGGGAACACCACTATATAACTAGAAATTTTATGATATATTTTTGTAATCAAATCATATAAATTTGCAAAGATAATGATTTACATTAAGACAATTGTCTCAGATATAACTTGACATCATATATACTTTAAAGTGCGGATATTTTTTTTTTAATTCTACAAAAAATTGATAGTTAACGGATTATGTGTTTTTGTACGAGATAACCTACTATGTTTATGATTTGTGGAAGTTTTTTTTGCTTGTAGTTTATAAAACAACAAAGATATTTATTTTAGTATAGATTTCTATACTTTTTAAAATGTGATTTTGATATTTAACAATTATTTTATTGATTACCAAAATAAATTTAAAATATTTTTGGGAACACCACTATATAATTAGAAAGTTTATGATATATTTTTGTAATCAAATCATATAAATTTGCAAAGATAATGATTTACATTAAGACAATTGTCTCAGTTCTAACCTAGAAAACAAATATGAAATGTGAAGATAATGAATTAACATGAGAGTAATATCAAAAAATACAACTGTTAAAGATAGAAAATAAAAGAAAATGAATAATAATCTAATCATATGTGGTTTCAAAAGAGAAATCATTATGATAGATCATTTTCACATAAACCAAAACCAGAATCAGAAAACAAAAAAATTATGTGTACATATATAACGTCTTAACATTCTAAAATAAAATAAATTTAATAAATCCAAAGCAGAAAAAATAATATCATAAAAATCTAGTGACTTCGTTTCTCTGTTGTTAATGTTTCTAAATTGGTAAATGTTTCTAAACGATAAAGCTTTCCCAAGAAAGTTTGAAATAAAATATTCTTTAATAATTTTCAAAAGTATTATACATATAATGTAAGATTATTTTTGGAATATTTTGTTGGTAAAGGTAAACGAGAATATTTCATGACTGGATTGTACCAGAATTTTGGTTGAGAGATTTCACTAAAAAAAATTAAATATTAAATATATGAAATTATGAAAGAAGATATCTCGTCAATTGATTTTGCAATAACTTTTTGAATGACAGGTTTTATAACAAATATTTAAGTGTCAAATATATATTAGCTAAAATATAAATGTTTAACAAATAAACATTGGTTCTTGTTTATTTGTTGTTTATGTCATACTAATATTAAATTGAAAATAGAAGTCATGAAAACTTACCAATACAATCCAGTGTTTGAAGGTTGATACAATTCATAACTATTCTGATGAAATAAATCTGTGACATTAAAATGATCATGATTAGATCTAACCTAAACATAAAAATATGAAATGTGAAGATAGTGAATTTACGTGAGATTTATAGAAAAGATAAATGCTTAGTTCGTCCAAAAAAAAGAAGACAAATGTTTAGTTCACAGGAAAAACACTAAAGAAAACGAAAATAATCAAATCATATACTTCAAAAGAGAAATCATTATTATCTGTACATAAACCAAAACCAGAATCAATAAACAAAAAAATATGTATATATATATATATATAAAAAGTTAGCATTCTAAAATAAGATAAATTTACTAAACCGAAAACATAAAAAATAACATCATAAAAGTCATTAAACTTCGTTTCTCTGTTGAGAATGTCTTATATATAGTAAACTAGGTGTTTTTCTCTCACTTATAGGCATATCTCTTATGAATATTTATTAGTAGATGTTTCATTAATTTTTTACTTATATTTTCAAAAAGTACAAATCAAACATCAAATAATTATAAATGACAGAACTCAAACATCAGAAATAATTTTAAAAAATCTATTTTTATAATTATTTTGTTTGATTTATATTTAATTATAATATTTTTACAAATATTTTTACTTAAATTATATTTAATTATAATTTTATATCTTAATTTTAAAATTTATAATAGAAAAACATATTTTCAAGATAACAATATAATGGATAAGTTATTTATTTTCTAAAAATATAAAATGATAATTTTTTTTAATTATACAGGATTATAGAAATGATGACATATAGTTAAAATTACTTAAAATCATGGAGAACTAAACAAATCAGAAAATTTACTTTTTAAATAGTTTTGTTTGAGTGATTATTTATATTAATTAATAATAGATCATTTTTTATTTTTCTTTTAAATTATATAATATAAAAATATAATTTCAAGATAACAACATAATACATAAGAGTTACCTTATTTTATAAAACTATAATACTATTACTGTAAATTTATATTAATTATAGAATAACTACAACTCTTATATCTTAATTTTAAATTTCTAATAGAAAATATATATTTCAAGACAACAACACAATACATAGGAAGTATCATATTTTCTAAAAATCTGATACTATTAATATAAATTTGTTTTAAATATAAAATAAATTATAGAAATTATGATAAATTATCAAAGTAACCTAAAATCATGGAAAATATGACAAATCAGCAAACATCAATTCACTTCTTAAATAATATTATAGATTTTTTACATGTTCATTTAAATTTTTATAATAAAAATGTATTTTCAAGATAACAACACAATACGTAAAAATTAACTTATTTTCTAAAATATCATATTATTAATAAAAAATAGGTTTTAATTATATAATCAATAATAAAAAAATTAAAGAAATTATGATAAATGATCAAAATTATCTAGGATCATGGAGAAGTTGACAAATCAACAACTTCACTTTTCAAATAATTGTTTTGATGATTTATATTTAATTATTAATAATATAATTTAATGTCTTAATTTTAAGTAGGAAAATATATTTTCAACATAACAACATAATACACAAGAAGTATCTTATTTTAGAAAATATAAAATTATTAATATAAATTTGTTTTAGTTATATAATAAATATAATAATTTTTTATCTTAATTTAAAATTTAAGTTGTATATATAAAGTACAGTTTAAGATAACAACATAATTCACAAGAATTATCTTATTTTCCAAAAATATGATATATTCATATAAATTCGTTTTATTTATAAATAAATTATATATAAATATTAAAAAGATGATAAATAAACAAAATTACCTAAACTTGTGGAGAACATGACAAGTAAGCAAACGCAAGAATTATCTTATATTCTAAAAATATGATATATTCATATAAATTCGTTTTATTTATAAATTAAATTATATATAAATATTAAAAATATGATAAATAAACAAAATTACCTAAACTTGTGGAGAACATGACAAGTAAGCAAATTTACTTCTTAAATAATAGTATAGATATGATAAATAAACAAAATTACCTAAACTTGTGGAGAACATGGCAAGTAAGCAAACTTACTTCTTAAATAATAGTATAGATTGGTAAACGTTTATAAATTACATAGCTTTCATAAGAAGCTTTAAAATAGAATATATTTTAATAAATTTCAATATATATTATGCTTATAAGGTAAGATTATTTTGGAATATTTTGTTAGTAAAAGAAAAAAGAGAATATCTCGTGAGGAGATTCCAAAAGAAATTTGGTTGACAGATTTGACTATAAAAATTAAATACTAAATGTATATATATATATATATATATATATATATATTTAAATATTTGTAGTATAACATGTCATTCAAAAAGTTGTTTCGCTCAACTGATAAAATATTTTCCCTCTTAATTTCATGCATTTAGTATTTAATTTTTATATATATATATATATATATATATATATAAAATCTAAAACATAGACTACAATAACTTTTTAATTGATATATCTCACTATAGATATTTAATATGACATGATGTTGTATTAACATTCCTAGTTATATAAATTTGATATTTTATGTTCATATAAATCATACTACAAATACTATATTTGTTGACAAAAAATCAATTCTATTTGTTATTTACGATTTTAAATAAATAGAAAATCTTCTTATATATCGATATTCATGTTTTCAAACATACTTATTTTTAATACAATTATCCATGTTTTCAAACAATTTTAATGTGTATTTCTATTTTAATAATAAAAATAATAATGTAAAGTCCAACTTAAAAATTTTACTTAAAAAAGTTGTGATATTTCTATTTTAATAAGATAGATGTAATTATCTATTTTCTAAATTTTAATTTATCTTGGTCAGAATATATACATCCAATCAGAATCAAAACTTTTTTTATGACGAATCATATTGCATCACCATTTAAACCCAATCTAATTAAATGTCTATTGAAAAAAAGAAATCGACACCGGAAATTCACCCAATCTAATTAAGGTAAAAATCAAATCCTAAACCTGACATATAAGTTTAACAGCCGGATTATTATTCTACACACACTAACATTAACAGAACTCTATATAATACGAACCCATCGTGATACACAACATCGAACAACTTTATATAACTACCAACTCATCATTTTACATTGTACTACCAACTCATATGATATTTTAGTTCCAATATACATAGAAAATAAAATACTTTCAGTATTTTCTAACCAAACTGATACCATATCTAAACTTAATTAGGAATTTGAAATAATTTTTTGAAATTTGCAAGATATAAATTATAAAGTATAGTATCTTATATCAATTTAGTATACATATTTATCAACAGATTTACACCAATAATTTAGATGTTATTCTATTTTCCTAAACTGGTAATATTTATTAGAAATGTTGATATATTATGAAACCGTTATTTATGATAAATATCATTATCCTTTTACTAATTTAGGGAAACAATAGAAAATTTGAATATACGAATTTTAATTAAAAATAGGGTTAGTAATATATTTAAGATTTTGCTTCCCCAAATATCTGAACTTATCTAATTAGATTTCAAATTTGGAATATATGATCACCAAAAGTTAACAACAACGTAAAAACTTTAATTAGGAGGGATACATACATAAAATGGTAATTATTTTTGAGAATTTTAAACCAAACTGATATCATATCTAAACTTAATTCAAAATTCTATTATATTATTTAACCATTTATATAAAAAGTTTAAAATAATTTGTATCAATACAAAACATGTTAAAAAGATAAAATATTATATTTAGAACTAAACCAATTAAATAAGATCTAGGTGAAATAAGTTAAACACATGAAACAAGTTAAATAAACGAAATCATAATGCGGCTCAGAATTATCTGCAATCCTCATAATTTTAGTCCAACTTATAATAACAAAATTAAATCATATAAACAAAATTAACATAAATTATATTGAAAGTTTAAAAATATATAAACTTAGAAAATTTGTAAGTTTCATTTCATAAAATAAATTTTCACCAAATACTAATTATTCCAAAAATATAAATGTTCGTAACAAAAAAAGATGCTCATACAAAAATTAAAAATATATAACTAAATACAAACTAAAATTTTATAGAATATATTTTGATAATATTAGTCTCGTGCTTTTAAAGCGCGGATCAGAACCTAGTGATGATTAAAGTATAAAACATTCAGTTTTCATAAAATGTTTATGTAAATTGTAAATCTTCTTTTACGTTTAGTTTTTTCGCTTACAATGAACAAGTGAATTTTGTTGTAAGTGCTAAAAGTTATGGCCCCTGTGGGTTTATTTAGAAAAATATAGATAATGTGTCAAATAAAACACACAAAAGAAAAAAAAAAAACTAATGTGGCCCAAGGGTTATATATAATTTTCTTCGACTGTAGAATATTTTTGCTATTATAGGATTTAGTTTTCAAGAATCAAGACTAGTCTGACATTGAGCTTAATATCTCTAACCATTCAAAATCTAATCTTTGGTTATTGTTGTAATGCTTGAATCGAAATTTTCTTTTATAGATGGTCGAAGATTGCAAGTCATCTTCCCGGAAGAACAGATAACGAAATCAAAAACTATTGGAACACTCATATGAGGAAGAAAATGTTGCAAATGGGAATTGATCCAACCACACACAAGCCAAGAACCAACAATCTTGGCCCTATTCTCGACGTTTCTCAAATGCTCGAGGCGGCTATTGGCAACAGCCGATTTGGAAACAACCACACTACTTTGGAAGATCTTCTTAAACTTCAGTTGATCTATAAAATGTTTCAAATGATAACCCCCAAAGCCATAACACAAATCAATAGCTTCAGTATCAACTCACTGAATACTAAACCGGATCCGGTAATCAATAATATCAAAACCAATCCAGTGAGTCCTAAACCGGATCCGGCGGAGGTTGGACAATCGAATGCTATTGATCCACATTTTGTAATAAACAAAATTGAAAATAAAGATTCCATGCCTTCTTTTGAGGATGCTTGGGATTGTTTTGAAGATAACCAGCTTCCTGGTTTGGTTAGGGTTTCTCAGGAAAATCTGAAATCTTCAAAACCGGGTACTAGTAATACCAATGAGGTAAATGATCAAACCGGAGCAGGTATGATGCAAGATTATTATGGTGATCAGTTAGGTGAAATCCCATCTACTGGTTCGATATCGGTTACTCCTGAGACATCCGGGTTGACCTATCACGGTATGACTCAACACTCATCCGGTTCAGATGTCCTAGAAGACTGGGAGAAGTTTGTTGGTGATGAAACAACTGACTCTTGCTGGAAAAGTTTCTTAGAGTAATTCTTTTTTTCCATTTTTATTTTTAATATGTGCTATTAAGTACATATATATATATATATATATAGCCGTTCGTTGTCAAAAAAAAAATATATATATATATATAGATGGAGTTCCAAAAAAAAAAGTATATATATAGATGGTAACATACAATATTACTTCTTTTTTTTGTAACATACAATATACTTTCTTAAACTAAAATATCTATTAACAAAGTATTGCTATTTATTATGCAGTTTAACGTATTCTACGTCGTCGCCCAGCCCGCCGTGGTAGAACTGGATTTGGTTCAAGACGTATACTCATCATAGTTAAGATTCATACAAAAAAAAAGAAAAACGTTTGAAAATATTCTTAATTCTTTTTGTCACAAAATTATTGATTTATATGCTTGTATTCATTTTCTTGTGAATGAATGTTTGAATTGGATTTCTTCTATTTGGTTTGTTGGTTTGTTGTGTAACAGAAGTAAGAAACACATAGTGATCACATGTGATCGGAGTCATATTTTGATTATGCATACAAATATACGATTATTCTATTATACAATCAAGGAAAATTAATTCCTCCATATATATACATATACTAGGTGATTTTCCCGTGCGCATGCACGGACATGTATATTTATAAAATAAATATACAATAATAATTGATTGATATTTATTTTAATTTTTAAATTAATTTATAGTTTGTATGTTCTAATTTATATTATAATATTATATTACTTTAATTATATATATATATAATTTTAGATATGTTATATTTAGTAAGTTTTATTGTTCTTATGGTCGATTTAGTATCATTTAGATATATTGGATTCTATCTATTTCTCTGAATTCAACTATAATCTTTTATATTTTAAATATATTAAATTTTTGATTAATTGTCTTATTTGTATTTATGTTGGTTGTTATCTTAGAAATATAAGTATTTTTAGTAAGATTATATATAACTTAAGATTTTTTTGTGCTTAGAAGGAAAAAAAAAATCTAAAGTGTCTGAGTCTAAATTACATACATAAGTAACTAATGAATTTTTAGAAGCTTTGAAACACATATCAATATTTACAATAATTAAAATATTTTATAAATTCTAAATAAATTTATGCTTTAGATTGATTGGATGGTTAACTAAAATTTCTTTTAAATAATTTTAAAAATAAAAATTCTGATTTGCTTAAGTATTTTGACTATGGTTATATTAAGTTTCACAAACATAAATACAAAAAATTAAAAATCAAAAGATTTATTAAGAAAACAAATAATTTTAACTATTAAAATATAGTATATCTACCTAGTTAAATTATATAGTGGTATTTTAAAATAATTGTAGGTATTTTAAGTGTTTATGTTTGTGAAACTTAATATAACCATAATCAAAATACTTAAGTAAATCAAAATCCTTATTCATAAAACAGATAATTTTAACTATTAAAATATAATATATCTACCTCGTTAAATTATATAGTGTTATGATATTTTAAAATAATTGTAGTTACTTGATCAAAAGATGTTTATTATTAAATTTATCTCTATAATATTATTTGAGAAGTCACTTTCTTAGGTGTCGCGCTCACGTAACTCTTAAATAGTCAGTAAAAAGTGATTGTTTTTGAGAAATTATACTATATAAGTAAAATAGAATTTATATTTTTACTGTAATTGTAAGATATTATAGTCAAATAAATATACTAAAAAAATAATTTCAATAATACTAATTATAAAAAAATGTCAATTAAACATATATCAGTTTATGTTAGTTAATTATTTTATGTAATCATCTAATAAAATATATATATATATATACAAAAATAATTATTTTGAAAAATATATATATATATATATATATATTTTTTTTTATTGTTTAAAATTATTTTTTTTGTGTGAATATTTTTTATGAAATCACATTACATACAGATATTGTTTTTTTTTATCTAAGAATATATAGATATAAAGTAATTTATTACTTCAAATGTATATTTTATGTTATTTAAAATATATTTAAATTAAATTTTACTATTTTGTGAACTTTCCTTTTTTATTAAAACATATTATATATACTTATATTTTCGTTTTTAAATAGTTTTGTAAATTTTATAAATGTTTCCTTTTTATTTTATATTGTTATTTGGAAATTTTTAAAAAGAAAATAATATTTAATTGTATTTTTAATTCATTAAGGGTATCATAGTAATCAACCAACGTAAGAGTTAACGTGAGCGCGACACCTAAGAAAGTGACTTCTCAAATAATATTATAGAGATTGACTGGGAAACATTGTAAGCACATAAGCCAATTTCAAACCAAAAAAAACATTGTAAGCACGCACAAAACCCTTTTTCGAAACATTGCTTAGAAATAATTTGAGACAGAATTGTGTTATGTCATGGAAAATAATCATAACTTGGTCAACAAGTTATGCACAAAGTATAAGAAAACAAAGTCTACGTATTTAGCAACATAATATATACAAAATATTAACTTTCCTATTAACAAAATAGTAAAATCTCCCAATATCTCATAACAAAAGGTCTCTAGTTTTCAAAGCTATTTGATGATAAAGAGTCTAGAAAGAGATGAATTTAACATTTTATGAAAGAACTAACCAAGAATGAACAACCCTAGTTCGATCTACATGGTTGACGATCTACTAGAAGAAATATTCCTCCGACTACCATTGAAACCGATCCTGAAATCCAAAACCATCTCGAGACAATGGAGATCAGTTCTTGAATCCAAGAAGTTCGTGGAGAGACGTGTCAGTCTCCAAAAGAGCCGTAAAATCCTAGCCGCTTACAACTGTGACTGCGGCCAGCAGCCATGGCTCCTCCCAGGGTCTCGGTTCAAAGGCGACGAAGAGATAGTCTATCTTCACTGCGACGCCACCACCACAAGAGCCTCGATGACTTGCGAAGGTTTGGTCTGCATCCCGGAACAAAACTGGATCAACGTTTTGAACCCTTGGACAAGACAGGTCAGGCAGTTCTGTTTCGGAGTATGGTCGTCAGGTTACTCTCGCGTGATGGGGTTCGGTAGTGACAAAATTACAGGGAGCTATAAAGTAGTGAAGATGGAAATATGGAAACGGGATCATCATGTAGTGGAGTACTGGAGTGTTCTTGACGTTGAAACTGGTGAATGGTGGATGTTGACTCCACCTTCTTACAACATGTTCTGTCCACTTTCTCACGAGCTCTCAATAAAATCAGTGTGTGTGGATGGATCCATCTACTGGATACACAACGTTGGGGTCGGTTACAAAATACTAGCATTGGATCTTCACAGAGAAGAGTTCCATAACGTATCAGTTCCGTTAACGTGTGTCCCGCGAGAAACACATTTAGTGAACCTCGAAAACCGTCTAACCATAGCCCTTACTTATACTAACCCTGAATGGATACTAGATATCTGGAGCAATGATAGTAGTAGATGGAACAAGACTTACTCAATTAGTTTAGCTGGAAAAGGTGTTCCATGGGAGATTGGGAGAAGGTGGTTCACACCGGTGTCGGTTTGTAAGCAAGGGAACCTTGTTTTTACTGACAATCACAAGAGACTTTTCAAATACTATCCAAGGACAGATAAGATTCGATGTTTGTCCTTGGACACTAGTGTTATATCTCCTTTCTTGGAAACTTTGGCTCCCCTTCCTTTGAAATCAGCCCTTCCGTTTCCTCATGCGCGCAGGATATCCAAGTGCCGTTTGGTTTCGAAACAAGACAAGTTTGGGATAGTAGATCTTCTCATAACCATGCTAGTAGTTGTTGGTATTGTTTGGTTTCCTTTCTAGGAGTCTCTACTAATCAAGTGTCAAAGCCAATGTCCAAGAAATCAGTAACTGACTCTCTGTAGAGGACCGCAGATTATTTAGAGTCTAAGGGAGCTATAAATGTTAAGGAATCTTTTTATTTATTTATTATATATATATATACTAGGTGTTTTACCCGCATATGCGGGCATGATTTTTGAAAACTATTTTTTTAATGTATAAAACTTAATTTTTAATTGATTAATATTTAATTATATATTTTCTATTTTATATTTTTTATGATTGAAAATATAATACTGGTAATAAGTGAATATATTAATTAGAAATTATCTTTTAATTATAGTTGTTATGTATATAAATATTGTCAAGAACTTTCTTGTCAAGCACTATAAAATATAAAATTAAAATGCAGAATGCACTAAGCGGATTACAACCTCAGAAAAACAGAATGCAATCTATATAAAATTAAAGAACTTTCTTGTCAAGCACTATAAAATATACTTATATACAAAATAAAAAAACTTATGTTTTAATTGCAAACACGAGAAAATATACCTCTTGATAAAATTATTTTTTTCCAACATTTGGTTAGTTTAAATTTTAGAAAATTTTAAACGGCGGTTTATTTGAAGATATAAAATTTAGCAAAAAATAATAGTTCAGTAACATTAATTTTCATGTAAAATAATTTAATTATTCATTAAGGATATAAAAGACATCAACCGGTCTAACTTTTAATATGAGAGTTCAAAAATTTATTCAAAATTAGCATAATATGTTATTACTTACGATTTCAAAAAATTTAACCAAAATCAAATTAATTATAAATTACAACGCTCACATATCAAAAAAAAAAAATTTAACAATATAATCAATTAATTTTTTTTGTTTGATTCTATTTAGTTATAAACTTTTAGATTCTAAATTTTAACTTTTGTAATAGAAAATATAATTTCAAGATAACAACATAATACATAAGAATTCTTTTGTTTCTAAAGTTAAAATATTATTAATAGAAATTTGTTTTAGTTATATAATAAATTATATATAAAATTATTAAAAACATTACAACGCGCACATATCAAGAATATTTTAAAAAATATATTCAAATATTTTTTTTTCTGTTTAGTTATAATTTTTTATATTCTAAATTTTATAATATAAAATATAGTTTCAAGTTAACAACATAAAACATAAGAATTAACTTATTTTTTGAAATTAAAATATTATTAAAGGAAATTTGTTTTAGTTATATAAAATTATTAAAAACATTACAAAGCTCACATATCAAAAATATTTCTAAAACTATAATCAAATAAATGTTTTTATTTCTATTTAGTTATAATTTTATATTTTAAAATATATAATAGAAAATAGAGTTTCAAGATAACAACATAAACCATAAAACATAAAATATATTTTTTTAACAATATAATCAATTAATGTTTTTGTTTGATTATATTTAGTTATAAATTTTTATATTCTAGATTTTAACTTTTGTAATAGAAAATATAGTTTCAAGATAACAACATAATACATAAGAATTCTTTTGTTTCTAAAGTTAAAATATTATTATAAGAAATTTGTTTTAGTTATATAATAAATTATATATAAAATTATTAAAAACATTACAACGCGCACATATCAAGAATATTTTAAAAAATATATTCAAATAATTTTTTTTATATTTCTATTTAGTTATAATTTTTTATATTCTAAATTTTATAATATAAAATATAGTTTCAAGTTAACAACATAAAACATAAGAATTAACTTATTTTCTGAAATTAAAATATTATTAATGGAAATTTGTTTTAGTTATATAATAAATTATATATGAAATTATTAAATATATGACACATAAGTAATAGTAGCTAAAATCATGGAGTATGTGACAAATTAGCAAAATCACTTCATAAATTATATATGAAATTATTAAAAATATGACACATAAACAATATTAGCTAAAATCATGGAGCATGTGACAAATCAGCAAATTTACTTCTTCTGTAGAGGACTGCAGATTATTCAGAGTCTAAGGGAGCTATAAATGTTAAGAAATCTTTTTATTTATTATATATATATATATTTTTTACATTTATATAAGATATTTGGATTTTGGTTTTAATTATAAAATTATTTTTTAAGAGTTATCAAAATTAGATATACAAATTTGTGGATTTGTATTAACATTATTAAATAGATTTTGACTAATTTAGATCCATTTAAACCGATTTGGACCAATTTAAAACAGTTTGAACTTACTTGAATCATATAAAATCGGATTTTATGAATTATAACCGATGTGCCCCCTAGGCGAGGCTTAGTCGCGGTTGTGAAAACTAATACAAGTTACTTATCTTAATCTTATCATGTGTTATGCCACTAAGGGTAAATCCAACACAGTAAAAAAAAAAAAGCCATTTCCTAAACTTGAAGACACCACTCACAAGTCATAAAAACAAACTCTTAGTAAACTCACGTTTCTCACAAATCCTTAGAAGATATCTTTTGTTGGAACATCGGCGGTTGAAGCAGTTTGATCAGATGCGGCTGAGGTGGCTAGACCTTCAAGCATTCTGATGATCTCTGCAGTGTCGTCTAAATAGTATTTAGCTTTGCTTGGCTTTTGTCCTACGGTGCAAGCGAATATCTCAGCCACTGGAGATAAAGCTGGACCATCTTTTGCACCCATTATCACCTCAAACATATCCTCATCAGACCGATCATCTCCCACACAGAGAATGAAATCCAACAGTTTCCCCTGTTCTTGCATCGTCGTTAGAAGCCTCTCTGCCACAAGACCTTTGTTCACACCCTGGGACCAAAATAGAGAGAGAAAGTGAGATTATGAAAACATACAAAAAAGACAATAAAGCTAAAACTCTTTTTTTTTTTTTGTCTGACCTGTGGTTTAACTTCAACTAGTTGTTGTCCGGTTTTGACAGAGACTGGATCATTCGTGAGCACACTTTCTAAGTGTTCCATAAGCTCTTTAGCTTGACAAGATCCAAAATCAGGATCTGCAAATTGGTAATTCCAAACGAGAGCAGTCTCTTTAGTCTCTATTGTTGATCCATCTGTAGTCTCAGTGTAGAGTCTCATCACCGGCTCTGCAATTTGTTTCCACTCAAAAGCTGACACTAAACTCGATGTTTCCCACTCTGTTCCATCATTTGGTCTGCCCCATTATCAACAACAAAAAAAAAACATTTCGTTATCCAAAAGATCAACTCTTTCAATAATTAGATTCAAGAAAACATGAAAGCAGCCCCATGTGCATTAACCATAGCTTTATTTTCCAAGAGATCGGTTCTTTCAAGTGCTGTTAGTGCTTCAAGAAGATATGAAAGCAACCCTAACTTTTAAGTGTTAAGCAATGATTTTTAAACCAGAACGGAAACTGAACCGGATCATTATTTGAGTCACGGTTCAGTATGGTTCGACTGGATGAAACTTGGTTCAATGCGCATAAATATAGAAATTTAAAAGTATTGTAAGTAAATATGATAAATATTTAAATTATAAATAAATTTCAAATATAAAACATTATGAATATAATCTATTTTTGTTCATATTGTCGGTTTATGAACTTTTAATAATTTTAATGGCTTTTATTAAGTTCGATAACTTTGAGATCCAATTAGACTTATCTTCGAACTAATTATTATAGTCAACCCGGTTTCATGACTAGTTCATAGTCAAACATGGTCCAACCATCAGGTCGGTCCGGTTTTAAAAGCAGTGGTGTACTAAGAAGAGAAATGAAACTAAGTGTTACCTTATAAAGTATCCATGCTCTGCAGCCAAACCAAGACCATCACATGAAGAAAACCATTCAGTTAGAGTCTTTCTATCTTTCCCGCTGATAAGATAGACAATATTCATGGGGTCACTTGACAGCTTGTTTAAGGTATCGATCGTTTGTTGGCTAGGTGTTGTCCTAATGGACCCTGGCTGCACCATTGTGCCATCATAATCCACAAGAATGGCTCTGTTCTTAGTCCTCTTATAAGCAGAGACAATGTGCTCAATAGAAAGCTTCTTAAAACTCGGGTCAAGCGCCACAACTCGAAACCCTAACCCAAATCCTATCCCCCAACACCTCTTCCTCACATGCTCCGCGCAAGCCCTCTCAAGATCCTGTATAAAGCTGCGTGCCCAATAGGCAACATCATGGGTGCTCACATACTTGTGATGCTTCTCGTGACGCATCTGCTTCTCTGCTTCTGAAACTATCAATGCATAGTCCATTGCTTCAGTCACCGCATCTATGTTCCATGGATTCACTCTAATGGCGCCGCTTAAAGAAGGAGAACATCCAATGAACTCAGAGACAACGAGCATGCTCTTCTTAGCAGCACAAGGGTCAAGACCTATAGTCTCGTTGAGTTTGGGGTTACCTTGTCTGCAGATAATGTACTCATAAGGTATAAGATTCATACCATCTCTCACCGCTGTTACAAGACAACACTCTGCAATCACATAGTAAGCAATCCTCTCATAGAACTGAAGCGGTTTATCGATAAGAACCACAGGTTGGTAACCTGGTCTTCCAAACATCTCGTTGATCCTTTTAACCGTGGCTTGAGTCTCAGACTGAACCTCCTGAACGTCTTTACCACGGCCTCTTGCAGGGTTTGCTATCTGGACAAGCACAACTCGTCCTCTCTTCTCTGGATGCTGTTGGAGAAGCTGCTCCATCGCCAAGAGTTTGAGGCTGATTCCTTTGAAGATGTCCATGTCATCCACACCTAGAAGAACCTTTTGATCCAAGAACTGATCTCTTAGCTCAGCAACTCTGGTCTGAGTCTCAGGGAGGTTTAGAATTGACTGAAGCTGGCTTGTATGGATCCCAACAGGAAGAATCTTGATACTAACGGTTCTGCCATAATACTCAAGCCCTATGGTTCCTCTTTTGGACTGATAGGATAAGCCAAGCATCCTGCTGCAGCAAGAGAGGAAGTGTCTTGCATAGTCAAAAGTATGAAACCCTATCAGATCAGCGTTGAGGAGTGCACGCAAGAGCTCGTTTCTCACTGGAAGAGTCCGGTAAATCTCTGAAGAAGGGAAGGGGCTGTGAAGAAAGAACCCTAGCTTCACTCTATTAAACCTCTTCCTCAAGAAAGTAGGCAAAACCATCAAGTGATAGTCATGAACCCAAACAAAGTCATCATCAGGACTAATCACTTCCATCACTTTATCAGCAAAGATCTTGTTAACAGAAAGGTAAGCTTGCCATAAGGAACGATCAAACCTACCTCCAAGATCAGGGTTTAAGGGGAGCATGTAGTGAAACAAAGGCCATAGATACTGCTTACAGAACCCATGGTAGTACTTGGTGAATATCTCAGGTGGGATATAAGCAGGGACGCATTTGAAATTTTCAAGCAGTCTTTGAGCAACATCGTCTTGCTCGGCTGCTTCTACTTGCTCTTTAAGGCAACCAATGTAGACAACTTCCATGTCTTCACGCATACCGTCTTTGAGCTGTAAGAGAAGCGAGTCATTGTCCCAACTAAAAGTGAGTTTTCCTTCAGAGTTGCGATGGGATTTGATAGGAAGTTGGTTTCCAACGATGATGATTCGGTCTTGAGTGACTGAAGAAGGAGCATCAGAGCAGACACTGTTGCTGTTGTTGTCATCATCAAGCTCAGATAAGACACCAGTGACGGTTGCTACCCTTGGAAACCTCTTCTTTTCCCGGGAGAAGGAGTGGAAGTTGCCTGAAGCAAGATCCAAGAGGTTGGAATAAGATCTTGATACCATATCTCTTGTGTGTGTTTATATAAAGTCTCTTCCACAAGTGAATAAGGTTCAGAGTCTGCAACAGGAACAACACATCATTGATCATTAATTCATCTTAATAGCACATGAAAGACCAAATCTTTGATCGTTAATTAATCTGATTAACTCAAGAACACATTAAAGATCAAATCTCTGATATTCATTTACTAACACATCAAAAAATAAAAAATTTGATCATTAATTCATCTGATTAACCCAAGAACAACACATCACTGTTTAAATCTCTGATCATAAACCCATCTTGCTAACACAAGAACACATCAAAAACCAAATCTTTGATTTTAATTCAAATAAGACTTTGATAGACCATTAGTATCAAACATTAAGAGAAACTAAATCTGAGGAACAGAAAATGAAGATCAAAGCTATCATTTTTAGCCAAAAAAAAGTAGCAGAAACACAAGAAAATGGAACTGAAACTCACACGATCAGCATCAACAGATCTCAGACTTACACTCCAAATTTTTTTTTAAAAAAAAAATCTCAGACATAGAATATTAAGGTTAAATCTGAAATAAAAAGGACAAAAAAAATCACAAAAACTCTAAGAGCGAGCTTATATGCACAAAAGCCCATACACTGTTTTTTACAGAATCAAAATGCTAACATAAGTATGATTTCAAAGTTGTCAGAATCATGAACTGTAATAAGAAAAAAAAAACTAACAAAGCTAAGCTTAGAGCTTACACTGATACAAACAAGATCGGAACACACAGCTCTCGTGTTAAAAGAAAAAGGTTAGTAAAAGTTCAATCAGATTCTTAAGAAGAAAAAGAAACACATTAATTGCAAAGAAGATGGTCAGAAGAGAAAGGAGAAAAAAGCTCACCTTTTTTGGGGGTAATGGTAGTGAGTGTGAGTGCAGGTCTCCGAGAAAGAGAAAGAGAGAGAGAGAGCTTAAAAGATTCTTTTCTCCATTTCTCTTTTGTTCTGCTACTGCTTCACTGTTCTTAAAAAAAAGTTTTATTTTTTCTTATTGAAAAGACCACTTTTATTTATTTTCGCATTTTGCTTTATGTGTTAATTTAATTCTCTATAATTGTTGGGCGTAGATTTTAATGTTTTTGGAAGATTCTCCTCTGCTTTCTCTCAATAATAGCCTTCTGAGATTTGTGACCAATCAAAGTAGTGGAAGTAATTAAGGTGTCCTAATGATAATGAGTACACAATAATAATAATATAAAAAAAAACGCATCTGATTTTGGTATTAGAAAATTCATGATATGTGTGTAAATAGTTTGGTAAAAAATAATAAATTAAATTAAACAAAATGACAATTTCTTGAGTAATTTGAGTTTGCTAATAGTAAGTTGACAACAACGTAACAAAAAAAAGTTCTGATGAAATTTAGCGCAAGATTAATTGATTTTGTAATTTAAAATTTTCATTAGTATTTAAAGATGTATATAGCATTTTTTTAACATGTTAGATAAATATAGATCACACTTATATGATAAGAAGATCATTTAATAACCTGTGGAACAAAATATGAGTTCCACAATGCTTACAAAAAAAGATGTATTATATTTTTCTATCGAAATCTATTGCAATTCCGTTTTCTAACTTCCCCTTCTGTTTTGCTAAGAAAATAAAATAATATTCTTATAAAAATGCTTATTTTCACTTATGGTATGTGGCTTAAGGTCTTAGTAAGATATTAATTAAAATAATCATATGTAGACGTAGGGGACACAGGTATAAATATAATATTTGGTCCATCCTTTGTTTTCTACTTGTACCCATAATTTAAGGTTGGCTAATAGAGAAAATGGTAGCTCTTTTTTTTTGCTAGGCATCAGAATAATGCAAAAAGAGTTGGTACTAATGTTGATTAGTGGTCGTTTTCTATAAACAATAGTTTTGATGTTTCAGTTTTAATAATTTGTGAATAAAGAGACAACAAATATCTTGATGTCTTTGTAGATCGGGAACACAGGTCATGGACTCATGTCTACTTTAATTTACTCTTCTATTACAGTTGTGATTTGTAAGAAGTTTTCATTCAGAGCTTAGAATAATATTTTTTATAACTAAATATGAAAATAATAGTGAAAGATTGGAGAAAGTGAAAGGTTCTCAAACAATTTTCTGAGAAATTCATAAAAACTTTACGAGCCATTTGTCTCACCAAGAGTAGTAACAAAAGTTTAATTTTAATCATACAACTTTATATTAAAATATTACTATTTTTTGTTGTTGGAGAAATTTCTTCTAAAAGATTGAGATGATTTTATATATAAGTGATATATATGTATCTATGCTGTCTAATTCAGGTCATGTAAAATATTATTACCGCATGTTTCGTGTATCCATCTAGATTGACAATCTCATCGAGATGAGAATTACTGTTTGTTTTATGTTAAGATGAGAATCATCTAAATGAATTTTAATGTTTTACTTTAAAATAAGATTTATCCAGATGATTTATTTAAGTTAGTCTAGTTGGTGCATGTAGATAGGAGATAAAACATGTCAGATAACAAAAGAAATTTACCTTAATTCAAATAGAAACAAGGTTTAGAAAAAAATAATTACGATATACTTTCTCGAAAAACGACAAAATCACATTTTCAAACAAAAGAAATGAGAATTAATTTTTTTTGTCAAAATCATAAAATTGCATTTTTCACTAAAACCGAAAAAATCACCTTTCACTAAAATCACAAAACATATTTTTTCATCAAAATCATCAAACTACAATTTTCGCAAAAACATAAAATCATATTTTCTCGTCAAAACTAACAATTAGAAAATTAAGGTGACAAATTGTCATGACACTAGACAACAATGTCCTTTTAAGGAGATAAGGAGAGATTGTATGTGTACATTTCTATTTTATATTTCCAATATAATAAAATTCAAAAAAATTGTCTCTAAGTTGAAGTTGAAACTAAATTATACTATATGAATATATATATATATATAATATAGTATAGATTAAAACCAAATTTATGGAATATAATATAAAATTTGTAACACTACATGTTTGTTTTAAAACTTTCAAAATATGTTCCGCGTAAAAAAGAATCTAGGTTTTTAATATGTATAATACAAAACTAAAGAAATGTGTTCATAAAAACTAAAAACAATTAGAGTGGAAGGTGAAAGCATGCTAACTATATAAGGAAAACAAAAGGAAAAAAACAACACTACATATATGTAATCTATATATAGAGGTGTTTAGCAATCATTATATAATGTATAAAATGTACGCAACCATTAAGTTGTTATGGAAATTTGGTTAATTATAGATTTTTTTGGATATACAATCGAATTTTCCACTATGTAACTACCATTAAAACATGAGTTTTATGCCAACCAATAAAAAACTGCCTAAAAATCTGTCATTTCATATTCTGTTTTTTTTTTTAAAAAATATATATATTTGAAAAATAAAATGATGTTTTAGAAAATTAAATAAATAAATAAAAGTAAATAAAAATTATAATTGTAGCTATAAAAAAAGAGTTTTAACATTGTTAACGCCGTTAGTAAAACAATAAACCCTAAATTTTAAACATTAAATCATAAACTCTCAACTTTAGGTATATCTTAGATCTTTGGATAAATCTTAAAGTTTAGGATATAAAGTTTAGATTTTTGTTGCAAGTATTTAGGGTTTAGTAATTATGATTTAGTGTTTAATATTTATGATTTAAGTTTACGATTTAACCAAGTGTTTATGATTTACTTAAGGGTTTAGGGGTGTACGATTTAATGTTTAGAATTTAGGATATAGTGTTTTGTGGTGTTAACAAGGTTTAAAAAAATTGGCAACTATTATGATATTTTTATTTTTTTTAAATATAATTTAATTTAGCAAATATTTTATGTTTATTTTTTTTCAAAAACTATATATGTATTTTTATTGGTTGGTTGAATCTCTGGGGTTAACCTGAACAACTCTTAGATCATCTCTAATGGTTTACACTATTTTTTCTCTAAAATAAAGTAACACTAAAATGAAGTTGGTTGTTTGCTTCAGTGGAACGCTATTTTAGAGTTGAAAATAGAATGGTGAACAAAAAAGCAAGTTACTCTATATTTGGAGTAAACCTATTTATTATTCTATTATAGAATGAAAAATAAAGTATTATTAAAACAAATTTACTCTAAACTCTGTTGTAATGTTAAAAATAAAGTGAGATTGGAGATGCCTTAACGTAGAAAATCTTCCTCCGTGCATATCGCACGCGCTCAATCACCCTGACACTGACGGAGGAAACTTTGGACGGCGTAGGATCAGGAAGAAACATTACCGTTTTATGCAGGCGCGTAGGGTTTACTTACCTTTATATATCGAGCTTAATGTTTTGAAGAATACAATACATTTTCTTATTGACTAATTAATCCTTTCAACGGTTGTCAAGATTCTAAAGGAATGATTTGTTTTATATTTTGACGAATAATAATTTCTTTAACAAAGGAGGTGACTCATGAGGAAATAAAAAAAGCAGCCTTTGCAATTAAGGGTAGTAGTGCCCCTGGAGAGGATGGTTTGACTGGATTTTTCTACAAAAAATATTGGCATATTGTGGGTCCGAAAATTATTGACGAGGTTCAGGGTTTCTTTAAAACTGCAATTCTTCCTGCTGGATGGAATCATACACAGTT